AGCTGTTCCTCCACGAGACGACGGTCCGACTGATGGCAGGAGCCAGTCCCACACGCACACACCAGCTACTGCGACACCGAACACACAACTACAGCACAACCGGTAAACACACACACTCACTCACTCACACACTCACTCACACACACACACATACAGTCACTCACTCACTCACACACACACACACACACACACACACATACAGTCACTCACTCACTCACACACACACACACACTCACTCTCACACACTCACACACACTCACTCTCTCACACACACACACACACACACTCACTCACTCACTCTCACACACTCACACTCACTCACTCACACACACACACACACACACACTCTCTCTCTATAGCAGCTGCTGCTGTGTTCAGTGTCCCTTGTTGATGTGTGTTTGCGCTGCAGACGGTGACTGTGCGCTGGGCGAGCGTGAGAGGGCTCATGCTATCCTGCTAGCGTGTCGTCACCTGCCGCTGCCGCTGCTAACGCCGCCGGGTCACCGCGTTCGACTGCTGGCCGAGGCCAAGCGCACGCTGGAGCGAGTGGGAGACCGCAGATCCCTGCAGGACTGCCAGCAGATACTGCTGCGGCTCGGAGGAGGAACCACCATTGCTGCCACATAACACACACACTCACACAAATATATACACACACACACTCACACACACTGAACCTTCTTCAGCTGTATGTTAGTCATGATCATGTTAATATTAGATGTATATTAGTTTCATCCTCAAAACATACACACACACACACACACACACATATACACAAACACACAGGTTCATTCAGATCTACTGCAACAGCTAGTAAATAAACGGCTTGTGTCTGCAGCTACCTCACACACACACTCTCTCACACACACACACACACACACACAAACACACACATATACGTATGTTGTACAGAACTGTCTTATAGACCAAAGTCTTCTAGCGCTAGTGAGATACATGAGGGTTATTATATAATTATTATTTCACATGACGACCTTAACACTTCATCATGTGTCATTTCTTCAGATTTAGTTTCTGATGTGTTTGTTTTATTTTGCTTCGATAGTTTTTTGTCTTTATTCTTTTATATTTGAATAGATGAAAGCCAGACTTTTATGATGACAGCACGTGATGATGTAATGTCTCTCACACACGCATCAGAAATGAGCTGTTAATGCAGAAAAAATAAGCGTGTGTATTATTTGGTGTTTATAATAATTTAATCTCCTGGTTGTGTTTTAATATCTAACTGTAATAACTCTCTCTGCAGCTCCGTCACATGCACTCTTTCTGCTCTCACTCTTTCGTTCATGTGTTTGTCTGAAGCTCTACATCTTTTGATTTTTTTTTTTTTTAATAAAACTGCAGATGCCATTGAAGAACCATCTTGTGTTTGTGTGCAGTTTACACACTCCAGTTTAGTTTAGTTTCTTATAGAGCACATTTCTACTGCCACAAGAGCAGCCCAAAGTGCTGTAAAAGACCTAAAAAAACACAGCATCATAAAAAAAACCTGATATTTAAAAAGTGCTGCTTCAAGTAGAACGATAACTAAAAGTTGTTTTCCCAAATAATTCCAGCGGTATCGTTCCTCTGTGTCATTATTGTTAACAGTTGTGCTGTGGACTCACTGTTCTCATAAAATGACAGTGATTATCAAAACTTTGTTTATAGTTACAGTTATAATTTTCGGTGTGAACGAGTCTTCATATATTCACAGACAGACTTTAACTGCTGTGATCTGAAACTACAGCACATTCCCCTCAGATTCATATGGAAGCTTATTGCCACCATTGAATAGAAGTCAATTATGACTTTTATCTCACAATTATGACTTTTTTATCGCAATTCTGTCAGAATTGGGAGATGTTAAATTGCTATTGTGAGATATAAACTCATAGTCCTGAGAAGAAAAGCCTAAATTGTGAGATGATAGAAACAAGTTTCCATAGATTCTCGTCACAGCAGTGATTAATGTATGTAAATGGTTTAGTGTCTGTTGTACTGCCTTTATAATGATTCATTGATTCAAGACAGAGAATCACTATTGAGGTTCATGAGAGTTTAAACTCGTTCTGATTCAGACATGAGAGTTTGAGGTTTACATGTGCTTCAGTCACAATGAAAAACATCTTAATGCTCCTAAAACAGGCAAACTTTATTAATGCAAAATACACCAAGTCTTTCTCTTGATTCAGGTGTGAGAGAGAGAGAGTGTGTGTATGAGTGAGTGTGTGATGTTGAGCTGCAGCGCGTCTCTGAAGCTGCTGATATTTAAAGGAGTCATATGATGCGATTTCAATTGTTCCTTTCTCTTTGGAGTGTTACAAGCTCTTGGTGCATAAAGAAGATCTGTAAAGTTGCAAAGACTAAAGTCTCAAATCCAAAGAGATATTCTTTATAAAAGTTAAGAGTCAGCCACGGCTACCTAAAACGGCTCGTTCTAACACGCCCCCACATGTCTACATCACTGTGTGGGAAGATTTGCATAACGCCGCCCAAATGTTCACGCAAAGAAAGAAGGCGTAACTTTTATTCTCACTGTAGTATTGTTGCTGCCGCCATGTCGTGGAGACGCTGTGTGATTCGTTGTGATAGCCCCCGGCCTGCGCTCACCCTAGCCCCGGCCTCCGCTCACCCTAGCCCCCGGCCTCCGCTCACCCTAGGCCCCGGCCTCCGCTCACCCTAGCCCCCGGCCTCCGCTCACTCTAGCCCCCGGCCTCCGCTCACCCTCGC